GAGAGTCTGGTTTGATGCACGTGTCACTGCGTGCTTTCCCAAGGGAAGAGGGTGCAGCTAAGTGTGGGCCACCTACACAAATGCCAAGCAAAGGAAGAAGGGAAGCTGTAGGCTTCTTTTGAAAAACACCCTTGTCTTCAACATTTATATAATACATTTTTGAGTAATCCTTAGTCTTGGTCTACTGAAGGCAAACATTTCCCATCCTACATAAAAGCAGAAAAAGTGTACAAAGTGTTGTACAAATTTGCACATGGCAGTGACAGCTACTTGGAGCATAAAGCCACTCTTCTGACCCTAATGAATTATACACCAGCCCTCAGCAGTGGAAATCCCAAGCTGTCCTGCTTTTTGTATGCAGAACTTACTATTTGTAAGGGGGAGAATCTCACTTAAATTTAACGTTAGCAGAAAATGCCACTGTGTACCATGTTTTATTTATTGAACATGTAGCAACGTAAACTGAACTAGTTTTCCTATAAAAAGTGAAAAACTCAGATGAGCTCTCTTCAGCAATAATGTATTAGACTAACCAGAAGTGATGACTAAGATTTTCTGAACAAATGCTTTAAGCCAGAAACATGTTTGAAATTACTGGGAATAATAAGCTAAACCTAAAATACTTGCTAGTTCTCCCATCCATGTAGATAGGAAGGATCCTATCACTGGACGTGGCAATGTTCAGTTGCCAAAGATGAAAGTGAGCCTACAATTTGAGTATGTTTGAATTTTAGTTTCATAGTACTTGGGGGATTCAGATGTAAACTATTTTTAGGCTATCGCTAAAACAGGGAAAGAGCCCCAAACAAATCTCATGTTACTGCTGGGAAAAAGGAACTGTCTGCTTGTTTTGTGATGTTCCTATGTTAATTAGATGTGGGTTTAATTCTGTGGTTCCTTTTTTTTACTTTTGTAGAAATTCTCCTACTTTCAAATCCTTTGAGGAAAAGGTTGAAAACTTCAAGGTAAGAATTTCTAAAACCCTTTGATGATTGTGCAGCTGTGGATGTAGAGAAAAGACTCAAGTGGATTCTGGGCAGCCTATTTTTTAGTTACTGGTAAACTGTTAAAGAGGTGCTTAGAGGAACTTCTTTTTAAGTCCTGTGGAAATGCTTTCTCTGCCTAATGATTTGCAAATAAAGTAATGGGCTGCCTGCACCTCATACAGGAGGATGCCTTTAGAAGAACTTATAGCCAGCTAACCTGCACAAACAGCTAGTATTAGGTATGCAAAATAATTAATACCTAATGCTAGGTATCCAAAATTGTCTAGGCTTTTATTTCATGCCTTTCTAGGGACTAGTATCCTACACAGGAGAATACCTTGGGATACATCTCTCATTTCTGGCATAAAAGACAAAAGGCCTTTGCACCTTAATTTTAATTTCACCCCTGAAAGCCTCAAGTGCCAGAAACAACCATTAATAACTTTTCCAGATAAAAACTCACTTCAAAAATAACTAATCTGTGTAATCAGAATCAGATTTGACTTCTCCTGGGCGCACTGGGCTGGATGAGATGTGGATGAGAAGCATGCAAGTGATAGCAAGGGGAACTGGGCTCTTGCAACTAATTGGCATTTACACCCCTGCAGTCCCACAGAGTCCCACAGAGCGTGTGCTGTGGATGGGAGTGAAAAGCAAACATGTTACATGGAGAAAGTAACATAGTTGCTCTGCTGCTCTGAAGGTCTCAGGACTTGATCTTCAGACTCAAAACTCTCCAAAGTTCTTTCTTGAGAAAAAACGTAGCGAGTTTTAACTCTGAATTTCTAAAATAAGACTTCATGGTTTGAAAGGTTTCATACCTTTATCCATTTGTAACTGAAGGTGTGTCAACCTTTGGACTCTGGAATCAGCCCTGGAATAGGGCTGCTTCATGTATCTCAAGGACAAAGGGAGATTACTGTGTTCATCTACTGGTGAGTGTTTCCTGCCAGATATGTACAGATTTATTTTAAGAATATTGTGGAGGTCTCCTAGACCTGGAAAAGGTGCTTTATTGAAGAGAGTTACTAAACCAGACGTACTGGTTTTGTACAGTTAAGCATGTTTGACATGCCAACTAACTACTATGCTTTGCTGGGGCTCTCTCTGTGTTCTAGTATAAAGTTGGAGGAAGCAAACCTGCTGGAGGAGACTTTGGAGACGTTCTCAACTCTGCTGCCAATGCCAGTGCCACAGAAACTATTGCAGAACAGACAGAGGAAGAGACCCACTGAGATTTCTGCCTCTGTCCTGCTACCCACTGCCAGATGCTGCAAGGAAAAACCAAGCACATGTGTAACATTCTCTGCGCTCTTTCCACCAGATGTGCTTTTATTTAGCACGTAGTTATTTTACCTGATTAACTGATACCAAGCTTGTTTGTGGGTTCAAAATATTTTTGAAACTAAAATACATTGTTTGGGGTTTTGTGTGGGAAGGGAAATTTCTATGCCTTTCAAGCATTTAAAGGACTTACTTCTAATTTGAAGACAACCTTTAAAATATAGCAATGAAAGAAACTCTTTTGAGAAGTTAATTATATTGTACAGATACTGTGGATACAGATTTTCTTTTCAATCTGTAATTATTGCTCAACTTAATCCATATGAATCTACTGCTGCTGCCAAACTGAAGCTTGTTACTTCGCTCCCTTGTGATTGTTTAGTTGAGTGCTGCCTGCAAGGGACACTGGACTAGGAGACTGGACAAGGAGAAAGGATCACTCCCAGCTAAAGAAAGGACTTCAGTTTCAGCAGGCTTTATACAAATTACAGCAGGATCACACATGAGTAGGAATGTACAGTCTTTTGAGTGTGTTCCTCATACAGCAGCTGTGGATAGGTAATAGAACATGTAAAACTTATCCATCTGTCCGTGCACTGTGCACCTCAGAGACTTCTGACCAATGCAGATGGAAGCAAGAACCAGCTTCAGTGCTGGTTTGGTTCAGTTACCATAGCATTTTCAGCCTTGTTTTTTGTACAGGATATCACTGTGGAAAGATAACATTCTTCTGAACATTGGACCAGTCACAAATAGATTAATTCACATGTGGTGGTGTCATATTCACACTATCAAAGCATGGAATAGAAGAATAAGGCTGACCCCAGAAGTAGTTCTTTTTTAGTCATCCAGAGAATGGCTCCTATATCCTAATGTTGTTTCTCTTGTAGGCTGAACCCTGAAAACATCTGCTACACCATCTTACTCTTTTTTTAATGTATTTAAGGCCTGTACCTCAAGCAACACGCCCCTGTTTCCAGCCCCAGAAGTCTGTTTTGAGAGGTGCACAGTGTCATTGCTCAGCATAGCTTTCCTAAAAGATGTGTCCTCCTTCATCTTGTTTTGTCTGCTGTACTCCTCAAATTTCTTGTGTTTTATGTGTTTCTGCCACATGGTTAGAACATTTTATCACCACGCTTAGAACTGGAAACAAGTTTTGCTACATTTGTGTGAAATCCATGAAACTTCAACTGCCACAGGTGTCTGGAGGAAAAAAAAGTTGGCTCCTGCCAACCTTGCTAGCATGTCAGATGTAGAATGTATGCTTAATTACAATGTGAGAAGCTTAATAAAAATGTATGTGAGGAATGTCTTGTCCTGTGAACATGGAGGATACTGTAAATAAGTATGGAAATTTTATTTCTAATTGAAGCAGTCCTTCAAGTTTGGTTCAAAGAAGTGCTGATACATACTACTGTACTGCTGGGACTCTGCATGGCTGAGCTTGGCATTTCTAAAGAATACTGAGCCTAGGTCGCCTTCTAGTGGCTTACATAAAATTACAAATCACAGCATTGTTAGGGTTGTAAGGGACCTCTAGTCCAAACTCCCTTTTGAGGCAGGGCCACTTCTGGAGCAGGTTGAACAGGTGGGTTTTGAATGTCTCCAGAGAGTGAGAATCCAGGACCTTCTTCAGCAGCCTGTTCCAGTGCTTTGCCACTACATAAAATTAAACTGCCCTGGTTACATCGTGAAGTTCAGAAAACAGGTTGACATATTCCCTCAGCCTCTGACAGCTCCAACTTAACAAAAGGAACAGAAGATTGACTGGTATAGAGAGAATGGAGCTCTTCCTCTTTTGGGTCAGTACCACGTAGGGCAGGTTTATCTGGAACATGATCCTTATTGGATGGGTTTTAATTTATTTATCTGACAGAGAGAAAGGTCTTCTAGTCCAGAGTTGAGCTTTCTGTTTTCTGAAGGAAAGCCTTTTTTTTTTTTTAAGGCTAATGGCAGTCCTTTTATTGTAACACATTATTACACTCTAGGAGCTTTTGCTGAATCTTCTGCCCACGGCTTCCTTTCCTCACGTGCAGGTGGCGTTGGCACTGCTGTGACCACCAAAGCTTTGCTTTCAGGGCTGGTGTAGTTATCACAGGATCAATTAGGCTGGAACATACCTCTGAGAGCAGGGGGTCCAACCTTTGATCAAACAGGACCTTGTCAACTAGACCATGGCTCTAAGGGGCTCCAGAAGGGACGGCAGAAGGTTGTGTCAGGGAATGTTCAGGCTGGGTATTACAAGGTTTTTCACACAGTTTGGGCACTGGAACAGGTTCCCCAGGGAAGCGGTCACAGAACCAAGCTTGACACACTTCAAGAATTGTTTGGACAATGCTCTCGGGCACATGGTGTGACTCCTGGGATGTCCTGTGCAGGATCAGGTGTTGAACTCCACGATCCTTGTGGGCTCTGTCCAACTCGGGTTACTCTACGAAGTGCCAGATCCAGTCGTTTCTTAAACACCTCCAGGGACGGTGACTGCACCCCCTCCCTGGGCATTGCAAAATGTAATTACCGTTTCCGAGAAGAAATCCCCCCAGATGTCCAACCCACCCGTTCCCTGGCCAGCTCTGTCCCCCGTCCCGCCGCTGTCGCCTGGGGCAGCGCGCCACCCTCACCCAAGATGGCGCCGCCCGCCTCAGCGCTGCGCGCCGCGCCTGCGCCCGGCGCGGAGGCGCCGCCCACCGCAGTGATGGCGGCGGCGCTGCGGGGCCGCGCGGCGCGGCCATGGCGGGCGCTGCTGCTGCCCGCGGCCCGCAGCGCCGGCGGGGCCGCGCCGGGAGCCGCCGGGACTCCCCCGCAGCCAGCGGAGCAGCGCCCGGGCAGCGGCACCGCGGGCTCCGGCCCCCGGCAGGTGAGGGCGCGAGGGGATCGGGCCGGGGCAGCGTCCTCGGCCCTAGTGCGGCCACATCTGGAGTGCTGTGTCCGGTTCTGGTCTGGTCAGTACGAAAGAGAGGAGGAGCTGCTGGAGAGGGACCAGCGGGAGGCTAGAAAGATGAGGAGAGGTCTGGGGCATCTCTCTTACGAGGGGAGGCTGCGGGAGCTGGGCCTGTTCAGTCTGGAGATGAGAAGACTGAGAAGGGATTTTATCAATACATATCAATGCCTCAGAGGCAGGTGCCAACAGGATGGTGCCAGAGCGACAGGATAGGGAGCAATGGCCATAAACTGAAGTACAAGGAGTTTCACCACAACACGAGGAAGAGCTTTTTTGCACTGAGGGTGGCGGACCACTGGAACAGGCTGCCAGGGAAGTTTGTGGAATGTCCCTCTCTGGAGACACTCAAAACCCAGAAACCCACACATTCCAGTGTGACATGCTCCAGGTGACCTTGCCTTGGCAGGAGGGTTGGCCTTGATTATGTCCAGAGGTCATGATGTCCAACTTTAACAACGCTGATTCTCTCTTCTCACCACTTCACCCTAATAAATAGCCCACAGAAATGTGGACTGTTCATATTACTTTTTAAGACGTTCCTACAAAAATGTAATGCAGAGAGCATGCAAGCAGTTTTGGTTGAGTAGAATGCAAGGTACTGCTGCTTGGGCAAAGCTGCGTTTGGCTTTTTACAGGCTGGCAGGGAAGATGTGGAAAATCTCTTAATGATTTTATTGGGTCAGATCAAAACCTGTTAAACCAGTATTCCAGAGACTTCTAGTGGAAACATAAAGGCTTTTATGAGTGACACACCTGTAGAATTGTATCTGTGTGAAGCCAGCCTAAGAAGCATCAGGACAAGAGTTGAAAGGCTGCTGCATATTGTTGTGAAAACCCACAGTTCTCGGAAGCTGTCCTTGGCTGTAAAATTAGGATGGTGTGCTTGGCAAGGCCTGCACTCTGGTAAGCTGTAGCAGGAATGATTCATCAGGAGCAGACCCTGCTCCTGAAGTGCACAAGGAGGGTTACAGGATTATGTCCCATATCTTCTGTGCAATCTGTTTTCCTGTTACTCCACCAAGAATCAGTCATGGAGAGTGATGATGACCAGCAGTCTGCTGTTTATTGAGGCTTCAGTAAATAGAATTCTGGAGCAAAGGACCACGCTGTCAACAACTGTTGACTCCTGAAGGCTGTAAAAGATCTGTGCAAAATCTAGTTCATCTTTGCCAAACAGGAATAATGTCAGAGGTGTGGTGAGGCCTTGATAACTGGCAACCTTCATCCTCAGTGTTGTACCCAAATGGGTTTTCCCCAGATGCTTGTTGGGGATCCAGGGGTATAGGAATGTGAGTGGATGGAACTTGGGAAAGAGGGAGTGGTAAAATAAATATAGAGATTTTGTGAATAACCATCACTTTCTCTAACAATGCATTGAGTTTTGTCATGCTGGTTTTCCCTACAGATTATGACAATGCCTTTTAGCAGACAGGTAGGTAAACAGGAAAAAGCTCTGTGTGTGTCCTGACATATTCCAGAATATCTCTTCCAAACTAAAAACCCTTGACTTCTGCTTATTCCTCAGGTAGAAGTGATTCCATGCTGGTGTTTATCCTTGACAGTCATCTTTTTGTAACTTTTCAGTTCTATTTGACTATACCTGAGATTACTTGGAATGTGCTTGGTAAGATATGGAGATTAAGGCTGTGAATTATTATGGCAAGGACTTATTCGGTACTGCAAGTGTAGAACTGGAAATGCCTGTCACTGAATTCAAGACCTGATATCCCAAGTTACTGCACAATATATAACATTCTGTTTTCCATTGAAAATCCACACTAGCAAGGCTGGCTGTGCAAAGATCAAAGGTTTGCCTAGCCCAGGAGCTCAGGTGGTGTCCGAGGAGATGTCCACAGAAGAGTTTAGGAACAAAATCATTTGATGTAGCTGTAGCAGATACTGAATGCTATTTTGGTGATTTGGGGATTTAAATTTTTTCCCTTTTTGTTTTTCTGTTGAAGTGAGTAGCTGGAAACATTTTCTAACTATATAATCTCTATCTGTAAATGAATTGTTACAAGCCTTTAAAGCTTCTTAATTAACTAAAATGTTACATTTTATTCACAGCATGTGAATTGCATACACAGATACAAATAATGCATTACTAGAACTCAAACTAGGGTTTTAAAATTAATATCTGGACCACAACTCTGAATTTCTGTACACTTTGCTGAGCTACTTTCTCACTTGAAGCAGAGAAAGGAAAGTAGCTTGCTTTGCAGTGCCTAGTGATGTTGAAAGCATGAGTCTACCTTCATGCTGTTCTCAGCCCAGGTAGTGCTCAGTGAGTCTGAGTGTGATTAATGTTTATACACCGATTGCTCTTTGAGTAGTTTACTGAAGAGGGAAAGGTTTTGGTGAAGATGAGTTAACAGTCAAAGGTGGTATGCAACAAGAAGGAAATTAAAGGGATCTGACTGCAGTGTAAACTGTTCATGTTGTGTAGTTTTCTTGAAATCCCATTATTGCCGCTATTAGCTGATGTTTGATTTCTAGAAAATATGTTATTTGGTAAATAAACTTTCCACAGATGTGAGAACCCTGATGCTACTTTGGTAAAGCTGGGTAATACTTCTGGTGGATGCCCTGGATGATCCAGGATGCACTGGATGCTGATGGTAAAACTCAAATATTTAGAAGATCTTTTGATAAGATCCTTCTAAGAGAAGCACATACTTCCCTCAGGAGAGGCTGTGATGGCACTACTTGCAGTGCCTTCCTGGGGTCCCAGCAACTGCAGGATCTGCTCTTTGAAGAAGGAGAAATGTGGTCTTGTTCCTCCATTACCTGAGCTACAGTTAGAGGAAAACTTGTGTTCCTTATCTCAGCCAACAAGTGCTGCCTGTCTTTTGCTGTGCTTCATCCTGTAAGAGCCAGAGCCAGAGTTTGGATTCTTTGTGTTTCTCTTTCTTTTGGGAAGAGGCTTGATAACAGTTCCTGTATAGTTTTCCTATGTCAGCTGTTCTTCAATTTTGAAGCTAGATCAGCTGGCTGATATTTGGGTGGTGGTGGCTTAGTTTAGGCAAATATAGATAAATTTGATAAATGGTCAAGTTGACACGTGTTTGTCTTCAGATGATTCAAAAAGCATGGGAATGATACTTTTGCTACGTAGCTCTTTAAGTTTTTTTTTTTCAGCAATGTGTGCTGCTGACCTTACTCAGAACTGCCTGGTGATGTCTCTGCTGTGTTGGTAATTTTATAGGGGTTCAGGTTTCTGTTTTAGCTTTCACCTTGAGTTAACAGTTCTGTTGTTACTGTTTTGTTAATAGCGAAACTTACAGACAAGGCACCTAAATGTTGATTAAAATTGTTGAAAAGGTAGCAACTTGGTAAGCCAAATACCCTGACATTTGTCTACAGCAGCCAACTCACTTTTTGCTGTGTTTGCCTTCTGCACTTTTGTATTTAAGTTTTGCATTATAAACAACAAAGAAAAAAAGACAGGTTTAAAGTTCTTTTTTTTTTCTCTATGGAATTGCTTAACAAAATCTTTCAGAAGGACCAAATACTTTAAGTGTTACCTTCATTAATGGTTTAAAGCTGCTTGCCTAGTAAAATAGGAAACCTTGTCTTTAGGAAGGATGAGATGGTTTTTGATACAGGTACAGAAATGTTTTTTGAGCTGTGTTGTTAGCTCAGTTACTAAAGTTTGAAGAAAATATAAGAATAATGTCACTAATTAAGAATAAACAGACATTTTTTCTTCACTGTGAACTAAGTAGTCTAAAAATGTTTCAAATGTCAATGGTGAAGTTTGTCAAGTGTTCTTTTAGGTAGAAATGGACTGTCATAAAGTGAAGTTCGCTGCTAATTTGCTCTGTGTGTCACAGTGTGATGAAGGTGCTCTGTTGGGACATTTTCATGTGAGAGTAGCGGAGTACAACCATCAGGTGCGTGTCAGGGACTGGTTACACGAGCAGAGTTGTCCTTGCTCAGAAGGAAGGATCTGCTGGGCCCGGGCGGGCAGGGGTGCTGCGCCGGGGCTGCCTGAACATCCCGCCCGGCACAGCAGAGGGCACTGCTTGTTTCCAGATGCAGCGAAAGCAGCACGTTTGAGGGATTTCCTGTTTAATTCCTTGAATACCGTGTTTGAAGGGAAAGCGTCTGTTAAGAAACGTAACTGATTTTGTGTAAAGTTCAGATAGACGGGATTGGATTGGTATCAGTACATTATAATATCTAATTTCTGAAAGAGAGAGATTAGAAATTATTCTTCCAGGCACATACATGTTTTTAAATTAACTTAGCCATGGGTTCTTTGCTGAAAGGATTAGTAAATTTGAGGAAGATCTCTGTGTATTTAAATGTCACTATTTTAAAAATAAAATATCAGGATTCATTAAGAAAGAAAATGAAAAAATATTTTCATAGGTGATATAAAAAGCTATTTCATTTGTTTATGTTTTAGGGGAGAATTAAAAACTAAAACACAAAAGTGACAATTTAAAAGGAATGTACTACATTTCGGAAAGCTACATGGGTATCTTTATAAAGAATGTGTAGTTGTCTTGCTTGTGCAGTATCTGGACATCTTCAGGTTAAAAAAAATTGTGACATTGGATGTTTTGAAATAGTAAAAAAAAATTAAATTATATTCGTCTAATAATTGATTGGAAATACTTCTCTCAATCTGTCTTCCCACTTAAGTTAGCATTTAGAAGATGATTTTCCTGAACTTGCAGTTACTTGAGAGCAAAAATGCTGATTAATATTTAGTGCAATTTTCACGTGTGATTTTCATACTGTAATATTTCTTAGTATACCCATTATCTTTGTGTGACTGGAGTGGTTTGCTAGTGCTAATAAATAACAAGCACAGAGGTTACTGTTTTAGGTGGATTATAGGTGCTGGAATCTGCTGACTGACTGAGAGGGGGACTTGCCATTTATGGGTTTGTGGGATCTGGAATGAG